ATAAAACTTTGTCTATACTCTAATAAAAAGTTCCCCAGACCAAAGAGGTCACCTTAATACCAAAAAAAAAAAAAAAACTAATTGCTAATTGTTAATTACGAGAAAGCTCTTATGTGACCACAATACAATTCTAACAAATAATTAAACTTAATAGAAATTAAGTATTCAAATCACTATTTAAGAATTTCTAATTATGATTTTTAATCGAAGTGCTTTGTAATTGAAAATTAAAATCTGAATTATTTTTAGAACAAATTATTTTTGAATATTGTCTAATATAGAATTTAAATTATTTAAAGCCTAAACTTACCCAAATACATGAGATTAAATTCAAAACATTTTCAAAGTGGTTTCAGTTAAATTAAATAATATTTAAATAATGCTAGTAGTTATGAAAGCTTTTAAATTATTTATTTTTACTTTTAACTTTTTGGCAATAATTCCAAATATCACATTGTTCGCCATTTTGCTTATATTTTATTGCATCTGTTTTGTACCAAGTGCAGTTTCTTTCAATATATCAATTGCTAATAATATGTTAAATGTTTCTGCACTACAAGACCCATGTGTAGAAATTACCAGTACAGGAAAATATACAAATGGAAGCTCCTTTGCTATAATACAAATAACTTCTGCAGAACTATTATGCTATAGTGACATAGCAGGTGTTCAAGATACCAGAAGGAGTTTTGTTTGGTTTATGTCACCTCAAGAATAAGTTTGGTCTGGCTTGACGACTAATCCGAATTGGAATTTATTTTGTTAGGCAGAATGATTTTCTTAATTTACAAAATACAACAGTTTACAAGTTATATCTCTAACTGTATATTTCTTTATATTATATTCTATACTTGTACTATTTTACAGAATTAATTATCTTTTTGCATGTAGAGATGTGATCCAAAAAACAATAACTAGCCAGAACTTATAACAAACCTCATCTTGAATTATAATAATTAAAAAAATTTAGTAGTATGTAAGGTTTAATATTATTTAAAGACACCATTATAAGTCAGAGTAAAAAAATTAATCGATTGATATAATTTAATAATAATTCTGAATATAAATTTGATAAAAATTTATTAATAAACTAATTAATATCAATAACCAATAGCAATAGAAACTTGGGGAACTAGTAAATGCATTGGTCTATTTGCTCTAGACAAAGTATTTTATAAAAAATGTAAATTTCGATATAAACTACATTTTCTTTTTAAATTGGAATTGATTTGTTTAATACTTTCAACAATTACAGAAAAGACCTAAAAATATTTTTCCAAACAAAAAAACTTTTAAACTATAATAGTAATGAATATAAATCTAATAAAAAATTTTATTAATAAATTAATTAATATAAAAACAGCTAATCAATATAATAATTAAAGCTTTAAATCAAATTTTTGGTAACTTTTCATTTTTTTTTTTTTGGCAATCCTGCCTTTATTATATAAGGAATATGTAATCTAAATACATAAGTTTCTAGCTAATGCTAACAACTCTTACTTCTCTTCAATAAAAGCTCATCCGGCTGCTCAAAGGTGCCCAGATGCGATTTGCTGCAGCAACTCTTTTCCTCCCTTCTGGCTTTCAACTTGCTGAAAGATTATCTATTAGATCCTTGAACAGTAATTGCTAGCCTTGTCAAGACTGTATTTAAGTTTTGTAACTATGTGGTCTATAAAGCCTTAACTATTTTGGTTTGATATTAGTCATAATTACTTTCTTAACTTTTTTCTTTGTCTCCTCCTACAATCTTCGATTTGCTTCTTCTGCTAAAATTCTTTCAACTCTTGCTTCGTAGGTTTTTCTTTTCTTGGTTTTCTTGTATATTAGATCGCTTCTCTCATCCCACTTTCTTTTTTGGAAGTTTGTAATACCACTGCTTTGCTCCCATTCACTTATAGCTTCATATCTTAGTCACCAAATTACCTCTTGAAAGTGTTTTCGCAGCTTGTATATCATTTGGAGCTCTCTTATCAGTTTGTTCTCATTTCCAAGCTTCCAGAAGATTTCTCTAATACAGTTAACTCTGTTTCTATATTTAGTCTCTTGGATAACTCCTATTATTTCTTTTTTGTAATGCTACATATCTTTTCTTTGCTTTCTTTTTGTTCTTTTTTTAGCTTTTTCTCTTTAGCATCCTCGAATGCTTCACTCTCTATTCTGCTTCACAGTTTTTCATATATTTCACATGTGGCTAAGTGATCTATATTTTCTTTTTCCTGGAAGCATGTGATGCAAAAATCAAACGGGTAGAGGTTTGGATTTCTTTTGTAAAGCACCTTCAAAGTTGGCAACAACCCATTTATATATTTTATCTTAAAAACCCAACTGTGGCTATCTTTTAAGCTTTTACATCTATGTTTTGCCTCTTTTTTTTGCATTCCCCAAATTTTCCTCCAGTCTAACTACTTCTCTTCTGTACTACTTCTAATTAAACTATATATACATTTGCTATTTATCTAATCTATACTATAATATATTTTTGTTATACTATTTATCATTTCTCTAATAGATATATCAACAATATGACCATTCCATCTCAGTATTACCTTCACTATTTTGGACTATTTTACTCTAAAGCTACAACACTTATTAGTGCTGTTTTTCTCTTTTGTTAACTTATTGGCTACCTCATATAATTTAACCCCACTATGGCCTTTCACCTTTACGAAACTAATACTAATATCTTTTATCTCAACTAAATTTATCATCATTGCAATGATACTCCCATTTTTGAGCTTGGTGGTTTTTGTGTCATTTGGGCTAGCTCTAACATCTTCAATAATACTAATTGCATTCGAACTATCTATGAAAATCTGTACCTTGCATTTGTTCGGTACCACTAATAATGTGAGCCCTATAGTGTCTATTTCTGCTCTCATTGAAGAAGACCAATTTTTTATTGCACCTAAAAATGCTCTAGCACTGTTTTTGTGTCCTTTTTGGCTACAACTCAGTCTATACCTATTTTTCTTGGCTCTCCACTTCCACTATCCCCATCTAAAGAGCCATCTGTAAAGATGTCTAATTCTGCATAGCTAACTAGTTTTTGCAGTGACTTCTGGGTTTTCTCCCTATACACCTGCTCCACTATATATCTGTCAATTAAATCTTCTTCTAAATTTCTAATCATTACCATAGAGCTTGGCAATAAGATGAGTATATCTGTTTGTATATTGGTTCTTTTGCTAAAATTTGCTAGCAACACCTCGCACAAGATTTTGTTTTCTTCCTGCTTTTTAATGCAGTTTTTTTTAATACTTTTTGCTTATTCTTTAGATTTAAATCTATTTTGCATTCATTGGGCTTCTGCGTATTAGATAGACTATAGCCTTGACATTTGTCGTATATGTCTATATTTTCTTTCTTTCTTTTCCAATATGTTACTTCTATCTTTTGTTTACTTTTACTCTTTTTAACCATCTGGCCCAAATCTGTTATACTCTTTTCATTTGCCAGTACAACTCATTCTGCTTTTCTTTTATCTTCGGATATATGTTGAAATAAGCTGCTTGATTTTTTTTTCACCTCTGTATCTTGTATACATCTCTCTTGTTATCTGGTTATTAATCACCACACTCTCAATGCTGTTAAACCATAAGGGCTTCTTTCTTCTGCTCTTGTTTTCTTTTAAAATTTTACTTGGTGCCAAGTTAAAAGTGTCAATCCTTTTTCTTAAGCAATTGTTCTATGAATATAATATTGTTCAATTTGCTTTTTATATATCATTTTCTTTCAATCTTGCTTAACACAAACCAAATCTCTGTTTCTTTACCTAAATACATGTTCTTTGCCACTTCATTGCATTCTAGCTCTATGCCTAATTTTGTAGCTTCTTTAACTATATTTGCATTAAAATTGTGCTTTATTTCTGCCTTATTTAGCTGTTGAGCAGACCACTCAATTATGCACCTGCTACTTTTGTTATCAACCTGTGTTTGGCTTAGTCTAATCCAGGTTATATTCCCTGACTCTATACTATTTAGCCTCTTAACTAAACTAGAAACTTGCTACACCAACTTTGCTTGTCACAAGCCTTTAGCCCCTACCAAATTCGGGTACATAATGATACTATTTGCCATAGTGCTTGCTAAACCTGCTTTTCGCTTGAGTAAGTTGAGAAAGAGTCTATGAATTCTGTCACAGGCTTGCTTGTTTATCACTTGGCATTTTAGTCAGTATTCTAATTTTGGTAATAGAACTCTATTGTTTATATATTGCAGATGTCCTAACGATATCTTCTTCTTTCTTAAAATTCTTACAAACCTGGCAACCTTTTTTTCTACTAGACCTGTTTGCAATTTCTCTTATTTCTCTCAAGATCCACACACCTAGGAATCTGGCTGCTTCATTATTTCTTTTTGCTTTTATCTCAACTCCACTTTCACTAATAATACTACAGTCTTTGTCTTTTTGGCTTATGGTCCTATTAATTATGATAAGCTTTGATTTTTTTTTATTTATTTTAATGTTTTTTAGTTTATAGAATTCATTAGCCTTTTTTAGGATTTTTAACAACTCTGCCTTTGACTTCGCAATCCATGTTGTGTCATCAGCATATGCTACAACAACTTGTCTCTGCTTTATCTATATGATCTTTCCTTTTCTTAAGTCTGTAGACCATGGCACCACTACCTCATAATTCTAGTCTTTAATTTTTTGCCTCTTGCACAAAAGCGGATCATAAAAAATATGCCATATTAAAGAGGACAGCATCTCCCTCTGGTTTATCCCATATTTTACCTTAATTACTCTAATGCTTCATATGTTGTTATCATTTCTAATTCTCTATATTTATACAAGCTAATTTATATATTTGTTGGTATCTTAATTCTTTTAAGAGCTAACTCTAGTGAGATCATACTTATAGAGTCAAATGCCTTTTGTATATCCTGTAATATGATTCACAGCTCTTGTTTCTTTTTTCGTGCTTCTTCTGCAATATAGCTTAGGATGTATATAAGGTCTTCTGTGTTTTTACCTGCAAGACCCACATAGTTTAGACCTTTGAGTATGCTGTGCTTTTTAAGAACTTGTCCTTGCCTTTTCATTATTACCCTACTTAGAACTTCCCGGACATTCTCTAGTAGAATAATAGAATATATATTGTTTAATTCATAGTTCTAGTTTTCTCTTTTTAGGATCGGATATAAAACTCCAGTTTTCCATTTTATCAGAATGTTTCTAGTTTTTATATACTTTGAAAAGAGTCTTATACAAGCTTCTTTTATTTTTGCACCAATATTTTTGAGAACTAGATATGTGATGCCTGACAGGCCTGGAGCGGAGTTATTTTGTGTTTTCTGTAGAGCTTCATTCCAATCTTCTAATGTTATTTTATTTGATATCTCTTTGTACTATTTCTCATCTATGTTCTCTATAGGACTATACTGCTCTGCCCAGGATGTACTTAATAACTCTCTATTTATATTTCTCTTTCTAAATTGCTTCTCAAAAAAAGATTCCACCTTTCCCATAACTTCTATTTCACTATTAACTAAGGAGATATCATCTTCTTTTTCCTCAAATACCCTATCTAGTTTGATTCTTCAGTATGGTTTTTTGGAATATGTACTATATCATTTCACTAACAATAAATTCACCAACAATTAATTCACCGACAAGTTTATTTTACTGACAATTGATTCACAAACAATCATTTTGCCAATATGTTTATTTCACTGACAATATATTTTACTGACAATATGTTTCACA